TCCCCCTGTTTTCCGGAGGGGGGAGGGGGGGTTCGAACCAGTAGTGACCACCCCCTGTTTTCCGGAGGGGGGGGGGAGGGCGAGGGGTCAGGCGGGGTTTTGCTGGGCGGAAGGGAGGAGGGGGTTCCAGCAGGGGAGGGGGGGGGACGGGGGGAGGGGGGCCCCCGGGGTTCCGGAGGAAGAGGGGGGGATTTTCCACAGTAAAGCGGCGGTGGATCACGCTCTCTCATATTTTCGGATAGGTTGCACTAGTAAGGGATCCCACTGGTTCGGAGAGGTATTCATAGATATTCAAAGAGATTCGAATTCATGCAAACCGAGCGATCTGGGACTTGGGCTGGGATTCGGGACCGGTCCCAGGGCGGAAAACGCGCCGCGGTCGGCCGGTCCCCCCTTCGGGAAGCCAATGCGCGCTGTAGGATGCGCCGCGTATGCGTTGCGGTCGATGGCGAGGGGCGGGGGGAGGAGGGCCACCCCTGGCGCGCTCAGATGCGAGCGCAACCCCACGCTGCGGGCGCCGACGCGAGGTCGAGCTCCCACAGAACATTTCCCGACCTCTTTGGGGGCCAGCAGCAAAGGCTACTCCTGCGAAGGCTCAACCTTGCGTGTAGCCGATGCTCTACCAGGTCCAGGGAAGCTCCTCCGCTCGGTGAGATGGCTGCCACTGGGGATAATTCTCATGTGCGTGGGTCCATGCCATAGTGATGGGAGCGACTCCTCGCTTGGACTGCGGAGCGTATCCGCTGCCAGAAGTCCTCTGTCTCTCCCTCTCTCCTCCATCTCTCTCCACTGTTTGTTCTCTGTCTCACTGTCTCTCTCTCTCTCTCTTTCTCTCTTTCTCTCCTTCTATCCGTCTCTCCTCTTTTTTTGTCTCTCCATTTTTTTTTTGTTGTTCTCTCTCTCTCTCTCTCTCCCCCTCTCTCTAGTTTTTCCCCAATCAGAGCTTGCCTCTGTAGGGGTCCGAGCGGATTCATATGGTTCGGTGAGGTGTGGCGCCGATTTCGGCGGCACGCCCGGGTGCCCGGGTGCCCGGGTGCCCGGGTGCCGGGGGGCCTCCTAATGGGGGGGGTCCCGCGTGCGACGGGCCCAGGGGCGGGCCCATCCCGTTGGGGGGTTCTCTCGGTCCGCGCTGGGCGCTGCCCCTCCCCGGCCGGGATCGGCGCAGGGCCCCGCAGAGAGCGCGGCGCCGAGCCACGGCGGCAGCCGCGGGGAGTCGCCGCAGAAGCGGCCCGTCGAAGCGGGACGCTCTCATGCTCGTGATCGCACGGGAAGCTAGGGGGCCACATGCGAATCCTACCCCTACCCCCCACGATTTCTGAGGGGGAGGGTGGGGTTCACTTCGTTCGAGAGCTCCCAAGCGAAGTGAACCCCACCCTCCCCCTCCGAAATGGTGGGGGGTAGGGGTAGGGGTAGGGTTCGCATGTGGCCCCCTAGAAACTCCCACTCCGGTCATCAACATGCTGTGGCGCGAGACGACATTGCCGCAGCAGTGACCATTGGTTATCAGGCGTCGTCGCTGTCGCCAGAGGAGGAGAGGGGAGGAGGAAGAGGACGTGGAGTGGGAGCGAGATAAGGCGCAGGAGGAAGAGGAAGAGGAAGAGGAGGAGGAGGAGGAGGAGGAGGAGGAGGAGGAGGAGGAGGAGGAGGAAGAGGAGGAGGAGGAGGAGGAGGAGGAGGAGGAGGAGGAGGAGGAGGAGGAGGAGGAGGAGGACGGGAGGACGAGAAAGCGGGAGGAGAGCAGGAGGAGCAGGAGGAGTAGGAGCAGGATATCATGGCATCAGAGCATGCGACAACGGCAGTCGACAGGAGCAGAAACAGGAGGAGGAGGACCAAGAGGGCGAAGAACATCAGGAGCGGCAGCATGAAGAGAGGGGTGTGGGTGGGTGAGGTTGGTGTGTGTGTGTGTGTGGGTGTGTGGAGTGAGGGTAGGGGAAGGAGCCTCGCGGAGGAGGAGGAGGCGGCGAAGGATGAGGGGGAGGAAAATCATTAGAAAGACGGCACGTGGAGAAGATTGAGGATGGAGGTGGGAAGGAGGAGGTGTTGGTGACGGTGATGGTGGTGGTGAGGATAAGGGTGATTGTGATTCCTATGATCATGGTGGTGGTGTTGGTGGTGATGCTGATGCTGATGATGATGACGACGATGACGGCGACGGCGACGAAGGTGATGATAATGAAGCTGGTGATGACGACGACGATGATGATGCTGATGATGCTGATGCTGACGATGACGATGATGCTGCGGCTGATGATGATGATGATGATGATGATGATGATGATGATGATGGTGGTGGTGGTGATGGTGATGATACTGATGATGATGCTGATGATGCTGATGATGGTGATGGTGATGGTGATGATGGTAGTGATGGTGATGGTGATGGTGATGGTGGTAGTGGTGATGATGATGCTGCTGCTGCTGATGCCGATGCAACCCATGCTGCCGACGCTGATGCGCATGCTGTTGCTGATGCTGCTGCTGATGAGACTTGTCCTAGGAACGTGTAGGAGATGAAACACAGAGGTCCGTTTACGTCTCGCTCAAGCCTTTTTTCTCTTCAGGGAGCACCTGAAACGCATGCGCCCCTCCGCCTTCAAGCCGCCATCGTGGTTGCTGGTCTGCATCTGGTGTGCTCTGGACGTGTGGCAGCCTGGGCTGCTGCGCACGGGCGGCGGAGGCGGCCCACCCGACAACTGGGACCGTCGGGCTTCCCTCGCCGCCCGGCAGGCCGCGGAGCGCGAGGCTGAGCTCACCGCGGCGCACGCGGGCAACCTCACCGAATGCTACTCACGGCTGGGGCGGCTCCAGGTCGCGCTAGCCAACCTGTCGGGGGAGCTGGTCGAGCTCCGTGACATCAGGAGCGAGCAGCCCACGGAGCCCGACGCTCTCACCTGGCACGCCTTCGGGGTGGTGCTGACCGCGGCCTTGACTCAGTGCGCTACCTCTTTTGCCGGCTTCCGACATCGTCATGGCACTGCTGCCCGCGGACCTGAGGCTCCTGTCGAGCGACGGGAGCGTCGCCGCGGCGGAGGCGTTCTTTCGTGAATTGGTACCGGGGAGGGTGGTTTCTTTCTACTACGACGACGACGACGACACGAACATATGGCACGAACGGCTGCTCCTGTGGCCATCAGTGGGGGCTTTCCCCAATTCCTGCTGGACGTGCCTCGCGCCAGACGGAGACGTGTACCCCGAGGACATGGTATCGGGTCTCAATGTAGACGGGCCGAGCCGCGTGTCTTTGACGGTGGGGACGACACCAGCGGCTCTTCGGCGTCCTGGACGTGTCTATAGGTTTCGCGGCCTCCCCGCCGAATATGATATGATTCAATTATTTCGAGATGCTCGTGCTGCTGCCCGCGCCGCGGGCCTAGTCCACTCCGAGCCGTCCGTCTTCATGCGCGGCGGCGACCAGCCTTCCACCAGCATGACGGTCAGCTTCTCCGACGTGCCAGGCTTTGCCCGTCGCGTGTCGCAGAAGAGCCCGTCCGTGGCCGCGCCTTCTGGTGCGCCCGGCGCACAACCCACGGGCTTAGCGCTGGGTCCCCCTGCCCACCTTGGCGGCACCGACGCCGAGGGAGGGGCGCTCGCCGACGGCGAGGTGGGGGGCACAGAGACCCCAAGGGGCGGCCCTGGCCCGACGGTGCTCACTCACGAGAGCGCCGCCCCTCCAGGGTCTGCTTGGTTCACGATGAAGACGGTCCCGAACGAGTGCCAGCAGCTGGACGAGGTCGTCCCGAAGGCTGGCGACGTGGTCTGGGGCGAGAGCGGGCTCTACCGCACAGCGGGCGGCTTCGTGGTGCCGATCGAGCTCCACCCCGTCCCGCTGCCTGCCGACGTGCTGGACAAGCTGGGCGACGACGACGCTCGCATCCTCGGCCCTCTCCAGCGGACGCGGGAGGGCCGCAGGCACCGCGGAAGTCGCACGGCCATGCGACAGGAGCAACGCGACGACTTCCCGCTCGTAGGCGAGCGCAGTTTCAAGTGGCTGTGCGAGTACATTGTCGACCATGGCGGCACGCCCGACGGCCGCCGCACCAAGTGGATGATGGAGAGCGGCTGCACGAAGGACTCAGCGGCCGCCCACCTCCACGACCTCCTCGGCTTCTCGATCGAGCACGGGGTCACCTACAACCAGGTGGGCGGCTCGAGCCTTGCCTGCGTGGAGGTGGTGTCGAGGGCTTACCAGCTGATCGAGGAGACCCTGGGGGGCATGAAGATTGAGGGCGTCGAGCACTGCGTCGGCCGCCAGAAGCAGAGCGCTCGCCGTGGCGTCGCCATGGCGCCAGGCGTCGCCAAGTACGCCGCTGACCAGCTGGCCATGGAGACGGAGATCCAGAAGCAGCGTCGCAAGGCGCGCGAGGAGAAGACCGCCCAGTCCAGCAAGAAGAATCAGGGGTGACCTGGGGACGGGGGTCGGGGAGTGGCTCGCCCCGACCGCCGCGATTCCAGAGCCAGTTTTGTGGACGTGCTGATGTCCAACCTCTCGGCGATGGCATGCTGCCGTTCGCGGTGCCCGCGTCGCCAATTGCCCCGCCTCCCCCGCCTGAACTATCCCGTGCAGTTCGGGCTCGCTTGTCTCGCGCCCAGTTGATCGAGGAGCGTGCTCGGGGGGCTACGCCACGCCGCGGGTCATGCCGGAGCGCCTCTCGCAGTTGGATAGTTTGTTACTTCGGCGAGTTCGAGGGCTGTATCGCAAGATGGCCGCCCCTCCGATCACGTCGGCCTAGGAAGCCTGCTCAGAGCTTTTGGGCCGCCCGTGTCTCCACTACGACACGACTGATGACTTGCCGCTAAGGCCCTGCGCTCCGCGCCTCGTGAGCTGGCCCGAGCTGGGGAACGAGCCTCAGTGGCTCGCAGATCGGCTTGGCGCTGGCGACCGATGCTCTCTCTTGGACCTCGACCATGCTTTGCTGCTGCCGCCACCGAGCTTCGACGAGGCCGTGGAGACAGAGGGGGGGGCCCACGTTGTGCGTGGGCCCTGTGCTGGAGCGGAACAGGCCGCTCTACCTTGAATTCATCGAATCTGGCATCTCGCGGGGCGTTTTCACCTTGGGCAAAGAACGGGTTGAGGACGTCGCCGCATTCTTCGTGGCTAAGAAGGACGAGCGGATCAGGGTGGTGCTGGACTGCAGGCGTAGCAACCGACGGTTTCAGCCCCCCGCCCCCCCCCTCCGTCAACCTGTTCTCCGCCGCGGGGTTCGCGGACCTTGAGGTGCCGAAGGACACGCCCCTCTACTTTGCTGGGGTTGACGTCCAGAGCGCGTTCTACCAGCATAAGTTGCCAGCGTACCTGCGGTCGTACTTCTGCTTGCCGAAGGTCGCCGCGGGCGAGCTTGGCGTCGGCGGGCTCGACGGGCGGCGTGCCCCGCCCTGGGCCTGCCTCTACCCGCGACTTGCCGTCGTTCCCATGGGGTGGAGCTGTGCACTTTGCTTCGCGCAGAAGGCCCGCAAGCGGACGTTGGGCCAGTCCGACGCCCTGAGGCCTGAGCTCTGGGCGGTCGACTTCGTGCCGACCCCGTGCCCGCTCAAGGAGCCCGTCCACTCCCTGTGCGTGGGCAACGTCCTCGTGGTCGGCACTGACTGCGCGGCCGTGACCGAGGTCAGGCGCGAGGCCTACCAGGCCCTAGAGGGCGCGGGCCTGGCCGTCCATGAGGAGACCGACGCGGCCGAGGGCATGATGACGCTTGGCGGGCAGCTCGAGGGGTGCCCCGCCCGCGCCACCTTGGCGCCGCGGCGTTTCCGGAAGCTCTACATGGGGCTCGGGTGCCTGGTGCAGCGCCGGCCCCGCTTCACCGGCCGAGACATCGAGCACGTCATCGGCCGCTGCGCCTTCGCCGCGCTGTGCAGGCGCGAGAGCTTGAGCTGCTTCAGCGCTGTGTACTCTTTTGTTCAGCAGAGGTGCCAGCGTGCCAGGCCCCTGTGGGCGTCCGCGCGGCACGAGCTCAGGATCTTCCGAGGGCTGCTGATCGCGCTCAGCTCGGACCTCGACGCCGAGTGGTCCACGAAGGTCGTCCTGACTGACGCCTGCGAGACGGGCCGCGCCTCTGTCGTGGGCGAGTGGGAGTTGTCGGAGGTGCAGCGTGCAGGTCGGCGGCGCGAGCGGTGGCGCTTCCGCCGCGCACGTGAGGGCGACGGGGGCTGGGGGCCGCGCGACCGCGCGGCACGAGCGGCAGAGGCCGCCAAGCTCGATGCACACCCGTCTGTTCTGTTGCAAGGAGGTCTCGCCAACAAAAGATTCCCTGAGGTGTCGACGCGCGCCATCCGCCGCACCACCTGGACGACCACGCACTATTCGCCGCTCTTCGGGACGGAGCCTATGCATCGTAAGGAAGCGAGAGGTGATTTACACGCTGTGAAGCTGATCCTGTCGGACGCGGACTCCTGGGGGAAGAGGCGCGTGGTCTTGGGGGGCAATCTCGCACTAACACTTGCATTATCTAAGGGACGTTACCGTGACATATATATATATATATATATATATATATATATATACATGTATATATATATACAAATACACACATATATATATATGTATGTATGTATATATATATATATGCTCAATATCCTGCGCAGGGGCGCCGCTCTTGCACTTGCTTCGGGGGCCCGCATGCATCGGCGATGGGTTCCCAGCAAGTTCAATGCGGCGGACCGTGACAGTCGCGCCCGCGAGGGTACTGGCGGCCGCGCTGCACCTGGGGCCAGCTGGCGCGCTACCGCAGCGCGTGGTCGTCTGCTCCGGCACCGCCGCGGCTCGGCGCTGGGCCCCGAGGGCGACAGTCGGGCCGGCGCCAGCTGGTCCGCGGCCCTCGAGGGTCCGCGAGGGCTCTGCCGCCCCGCAGCCAGCCCGCCCCCCGCGGGCCCGTGGCCCAGCGGCGCCCCTGGCGACCAGGCGGCTGAAGCGCAGCGAGCCAGGGGGCCCCCTGGCGGCGCCGGCCCCCCTGCGGCGCCTGGCGCCGCGAACGCTGGCACGCTGTGGCTCGGGCCCCCTGGGCTCGCCGCGCCGCTCCTGGGCTGGGCGCATCCTGCAGTCGGTGGTGCTGGCGTCCCCGTGCGACATCCCCGCGAGGGAGCTGCCTCGCTCGGTGCGGCGCCGCCTGGACGCTGGGGAGCAGGCTCGGGGCGCGACCCGCCAGCTCTCCATCACCGAAGCGGCGGCGGTCGGACGGCGGAGCCGCATGCAGTGCACGCGGCTGCTCGAGCTGTTCCTCCGCCGCAGCCGCTTGAAGTCCCTGGCGGGGCCTGCTGCCGACGCGGACGCGGCCCTTGTCAAGTTCTTCGACGACCTGTACCTCGAGGGGAAGATCGCGTCCACGGGCGAGAAGGTGCTCGCCGCCATCTTCATGCATGTGCCCGACTAGCAGAGCAAGGGAAAGCCGGCCCTGCTGCGCGCCTACCGCGCGCTGCGCGGCCGGCGTCTTCTGCGGCCGTCGCGCACGCGGCGGCCTCTGCCGTGGGCGACCTGCATGGGCGTGGCACGACAGCTTTGGCGGCTCAGCGGTCGCCCCGACCTCGCGGTGTTCTGGCTGCTGATGGTGGGCACCTACCTACGGCCTGGCGAGGCGTTCCGCCTGACGTGTGGCCAGATCATCCCGAGGCCGTGGACGTGCTGGTTCGGCTGGCCCAGGGCCCGCCCAGCAGCTTCCCGTGGAGCTTCACCGTGGCGGAGGCCAAGGACATGTTCGAGCGCGCGGTGCGCGAGCTGAGCCCGGACGGGATGATGCCTGTGCTCTACGCCGCCCGACGCAGCGGCGCGTCCCACGACCGCTTCGCAGGGGGGGATCTCACTGCAGGAAGTCCAGCGGCGCGGCAGGTGGCGCCAGCCCAGCTCGGTCAGGCGCTACGAGAAGCGCGGGCTCATCCAGACGGTGTGGAGCCAAATGGAGCCCTCGGCCAGGATCTACTGCCTGAGGGCCGAGGCCGAGCTGCCCTCGCTGCTCGCCGCCGCCTCGCTATCCGCCAACGTTTAAACGATCCCCGAGCTAAGAGAGATGAGTTTTCTGTATTGAAATCTTCTCGGGCTCTGAGCATTTCTCGAACTCTCTTCGCCGCCGTGTGTTCAGAGTGTACTCTTTTGATATGCTCCAAGTGCCCTCAGGTGACCTCCTGAGGCCCGCGGTTCAGACACGCGTCCTCCGAATGCTCAGGTCCAATAGATGTCTCGGGTTGTTAGCTGGCGTTCTGTGCAAGGCGTTCTCCATTGCCCGTGGGGGCCACAATGCCATGAGATCCTCGCAAGCTCCCTCTGGCCTCCCCTCTCTCCCTCCCCATCTGCAGAGCCTCGTGGATGAAGGCAACAAGCTGTTTCAGGTGTCTATTAAGATATTTAGATGTTGTAAGCAGATGCGGGTTCCTTTTTTTTGTGGGAGAATCCAAAGTCATCCTACATGTGGAGAATAGAAGCTGCCGTTCAGGTTTTTCGCTGGCCCAGGGTCCGCGAAGTTATAACGAATTATTGTGGTTGGGGCACTCCCTGGTGTAAACCAACTAGGCTGAGATGCTACCTTTTGTCGCGAGCCGACGAGTTGTGTAAGCGTTGTAAAGCTGTCCGTGGTATCTGCTCGTTCTCTGGAAAGAAGCACCAGATTCTCCAGGGCCGAGACGGCCTGGGCGTTCGTTGGACCGCTCGTGCCGCCGCCTACCCAAAGTTGTTGGCTAATCGAATGGCCGATGTTTTTCACGATGCTGCATTCGATCGCGTCTTTCGGCGAAGCCCCGCCTGTACCCCTTCCGTGCAAGTGACCCTGGGCCGCCCTGACGGCAGAGAACCGATAGCGACTTTAGGTGCCTCGATGTTCGGCACAGATCTGTGAAGTGCGTTTGTGTATCACGCCAGCGTGTGTTCAGGTTTGTGCTGTCTCTCCGAGGTCACCACATGCGGATGACAAACATGAGAGTTCTGTAAAATATGGACGGGTGGGGAATCTCCGACTTGTCCTAGGAACGTGTAGGAAATGAAACACAGAAGTCCGTCTACGTCTCGCTCAAGCCTCCCTCCCTGTCTGGACTGGTGCACGACCTACCCGCCCTGGCTTTCGGCGGGCCGCGAGCATTTGCATTAACGGCACGGATATGTGAAGTGCATTGTGTGTATCACGCCGGCGTGTGTTCAGGTTTGTGCTGTCTCTGCAAGGTCACCACATGCGGATGCCAAACATGAGAGTTCTGTAAAATATGGACGGGTGGGGAATCTCCTGAGGGATGAGGATTAGGAGGAGGATGAGGGGGAGTTGGGCGAGGATAGGATAGGAAAGGACAGGACAGGACAGGCTAGGATAGGATAGGATAGGATAGGATAGGATGAGGAGAGGAGGATAGGAAAGGACCAAGGGAGCAGCGACGGGGGATGGGGCCAAGGACGATGTGGGGGAGGTGGGGAGGGGAGGAGGGGAAAACGGAGGGAAGGAGAAGGAGGGGAAAAAGGAGGGGAAGAAAAAGGAGGGGAAGAAGAAGGAGGGAAAAAGGAGGGAAACAGGAGGGGGAAAAGGAGGGAAGGAGAGAGGAATTGGCAGCAGCAGCAGCAGTGGCCACCGCGCGGCCGTCGAAGCCCGGCCGCGCGCGGCCCGACGGGCGCGGCGCCAGGGACCGCGCGGTGACGCAAGCGAGCGCTCCCGGCCCGCTTGCTGCTGCGCCTGCTGCTGCTCTTCCTCTTGGCCCCCCTCCCCCTCCCGTTGGCCCCCCCCCCTCCTCCTCCCCCTCCCCCTCCCCCTCCTCCCCCTCCTCCTGACCCCCTTTTCGTTGCTCCCCGCCTCCTTCCGGCTCCTCCTCCCCCGCCTCGGCCCCCGCTCCGTCCTGCGCCTCCTGCTCGCGCTCCTGCCCCCGCTCCTGCGCTCCCTATGAGGACGAGAATGAACTCGTTCCAGAGCTTTCCAGAACGCTCTCAGAGCGAACGCTTTGAGAAGGTCGCGGCGCCGGAGACATCCTTCAGAGCCGCCAGATATCGGAGACTCTCCATGTACCCCCCCCCGAATTCCTCCTCGTCCTGGCTTCGTCTTGCTCAGGGGGGGGACGCATCGACCCCCAGTCGCCCATTCATCGCTGATATGGGCCTGGTAGCCTGGTAGTCCGCCCCGCCCAGGAGCATGCGGCCCGTCGCGGATCCATCGGCAGCGCATCGTTGCCCGACGACGACGAGGGCGAAGAGGCCACCGAACGACGTCGACGACGGCGCGCCGACGATGAAACTGTGACGAGGACGAAACGATGTCGAAACCCGCGATCTACTGGAGTTAGCTTTAAGTCGGGCATGTCCCTCTACAAGAGGAGAATTCAGAAATAGTAGTAAAATAGTCGGGGCGATTTTTTGATCATTTTTTGTTTTATAGTTTTTTGCACAGTTTTGGATTATTTTGATTTTTTGTCCAAATCCGCCTGTAGAAGGGCAAGCCCGACCTAAGGTTAGTGAAGGCGGCGGGTTTTAGCAATTCCAGGCCTATGCTCTTCTTTCCCTGAGCCGGGGCACCCTCACATCGGGTGCTGCCAGAAGTGCACCTGGCCCAAGGTGTACCCAGGAGGTCCAAGGACCCCCCCACGGCCTCCAGAGCACCCCTCACGAGGCCCATGGGGGGCCTGCGGGCTCCAAGATGCAGCGGAACGCTGGGGGCAGCACCTTGGGCCAGGAGCACCTTCTGGCAGCCCCCCAGTATATCTCCCCGTCATTTCGGCTGCTACAGTCGAACATCTGATTAAGAAACCTCCTCCCGACAAGCTGGGCCAGCGTTTTTTGACCAGCATGCCGGAAAGCTGGCCCAGCTTCTTGCGCACGTTCTCGTTTCCAGCGTTCACAGAAACAGTTGGCCCAGGTTTGTCTTCAGACATTTCCGGGAAGCTGGCCTAGATTTCTTAAGTGATGAGTCTTCTGATCCAGCTTCCCGGAAATTTCGTGCCGCCGGCCAGCTTCGCTTGTCTTCTGCCAGCTGCTGGCCATCTCGGCTGCGAGCCATTCTTCAGGATGGGAAGACACACACACAGACACAGTGAATCGTCGATATCCCAGAACATATGGGGAGATATGGGAAGTTTGGGGGGAAGACGAAACTCCAGAAAGTGTGGAAAACTATGGGGAGTCCTGGGCCCCTTCCATGCTGCCAGCTCCGCGGGACCACCGCCGGCACTCCCGCAGCCTTTCGCGCTCCCCGGTGCGCCTCCTCGCCCGGGGCGAGGGCTCTCGGCCTCCCGGCTCGAGCTGGACGGTGTCTTGGCGATCTCGTGGGCCGTTCTCGTTTTTGTCTTCTCGGGCCAGACGAAAGGGGGGGGGACAGGGAGAGGGGGGGTTACGAAATCTGCTGCTTCATGTTTCCCACCTTTTCCAACCGACGGGTACAGGACGAGGGAGAACGAGCACAACACGAAAACGGAAAACATTGTTCAGTTCGAGCCCTGCCCTGCAAGGGCTAAGTCGGGCCTGGTTTCACCTCAGCACGTGCCGGCGTGCATACAGCCGTCGCTCGCATTGTTTGCTGCCTTTTGCTAGGGCGCCGTCGGTACTCCCACAGAGTCGCCCCCGAATGCCGCCAGCTAGGTGACGACTCCCTGCCGCGCACAGGTTAGGACAGGACAGGACAGGACTCCCTCATCTTGATATCCAGCCTACTCTCGCATGTGCCCGCCAGCGTCTTCCGCTTCTGAATCTCTAGCCTGCTGTACGCGAGGTCCGTGCAGCAGCGCGCTGGCAACTGCCTCACTACTCGCCAGGGGGCAGTCGGCCCCTCAGCCCATTTCCCCTGGAGTTGGCAGTGCTCTCTTCAGCACCTCTGCAAGATGAGAGGCAGCCGCAGCAGGGATGCTCCTGCAGCTGTGAGCTATAGATATGGCAGTTCCGGCCATCCTCCCTCCTCCCTCCTCCATTCCCCCGTTCTCGCGCCTCTGCTCCCCCCTGCCTCCTTCCTCCTCCATGCCCCCGTTCTCGCGCCGCAATGCCCCTGTTCCCGCGCTTCCCCCGTTCTCGCGCCTCCTCCTCTGCGCTCCCTTCCGCCCGCCTTCCTCCTCCCTCCTCCATCTGCCCCTCCCTCTCTCCTGCCGCTGCTGCCCCTCCACTCTCCTCTCTCTGCTCCTGCTCCTGCTGCTGCTCCTCCTCCTCCTCCTCCTCCTCCTCCTCCTCCTCCTCCTCCTCCTTCCCCTTCCCCCCCCCCTTCCCCTGCTTCTGCCCCTCCTTCTGCCCTTTCCTTCGGCCCCTCGGCCCCTCGACCCTCGTCCCACCCCCTCCTCCCGCCCATCTTCCCTCCTCCTCCCCTCGGCTGCACCACGGCGCTTGCTGCTCCTGCCACGGGCCCTGCCCGCGCTCCTCGCCCTCCGCCTCCCGCGCGGGCCCGCCGCGCCGAGCACCCGCTTTCCGGCTTCCCGCGGTCCGGCGCCCCTCGGCGCCCTCGGCGTGCAGCGGGGCTGGACCCAAGCGGTGTTTTTGGCGATTTCGTCGGCCGTTCTCGTTTCGACTTCGCTCTGCGGTAATAGGCTGATTCGAGACAAGAGCGAGGGAAACCGGAAGCAAAACGAAAGCGATGAACGCCGCTTAGGTTCAGCCCTGGCATGCAGCGCGTGGATGGAGGCAGGAGGTGACCGTGAGGGGGGTGGAGAGCCAGCTGCCCCAGGCGGGCCATCGCGCAGTAGGGTGGACAGAGCGGCGTCGTGAGGGGGACGGGGGGGCGGTCGTGGCGGTGATGGTTGGGATGGCGATGGCTGTGGTGACGATGAATGTGATGATGGAGTTGTGAATGGAATGGTGATGGGAATGATGATGGGGAGTGGGAGGGGAGGATGAACAGGAATAAGACACGGATGGCGAGGAGGTTTGAGAGGTGAGAAGGAAGACGAGGTGGTCTTGCTCTGACAGCAACATCCCTGTCTAGATAGTTCGACCACCTCCCACCTATAATTCCTAGATAAGCTACGCGACAAAGAGGAACACAGCGACGACAATGACGGATACTAAGACGGGCTTCTGTACCCGACGAGGAGTATGATTGTGTGGCCTGTGCCCGCCATGCCGAAGCGCAGGGCCCCTACCTGCGCCGACACACCCGAGATGCTGAACGAGAGCGCACCCGTGTGTAACAGCAACCCACCACGAATCCATTACCAGGACGTGTGATGCAAGTTTGGCCAGCAGGAGGAGGGCAGAAGGAGAAACAACAAAGCGGAGACCCTGGGCCATTTTGGCTCAAGTCCGGAGGCATTGTTCAAGTACCCGAGAATGCTGGCGAGGCTGGTGTCGCTCCCCCCGCTGTTCATGTGGCTTGACCAGCCATATCTTTCCATCACTTTTCCACTGACGTACGTTCGTTGCCACAACCGTTCTTCGCTCGAGGTAGGGTTCGTCTTGCTCTGGATTCCTCTTGCCAGCCGTGGGTTATATACCCGATGGTTCGAAAGGAGGGGATCCTGTCGGTGGGGAATCTGAGTGGTCAACGACTGGTGCGGGGAGATGACGCAAGTTATCCTTGTTTCCGTGCTCGCAATGTGGTTGCTGTAATCTCTTGTGCTTTACGTGGTGCAAACATTGCTACGCCCATCTTTCGCACGTGCAGCCGTCCTGAGCCTAAGCAGCAGGTGAGAGCCTGTTCGAAAACTGCTGCGCCCTCAGTTGCTGGAGGTCCTTCCGATTCCATTCTGTCTGGGCCTGCCTACCTGGTCAGTGCGGAGGTGGTGCACGGCAATCGCACCGTCCAAAGGCAAGGGCGTATCTTCGCGGAAAGGCGACGTCAAAGGGTGCGGCAAAGGTTTCGGTACAGGCGTCCAGTCCAGTACTGCTGGTTGTTTGGTGGACAGTTTTTTGACGGTGGTGGTGCTCAGCGCTTCCAACTATGAAGCATTACCGCTGTCGAAGTTATGCCCGAACGCCAGAGACGTACTCGGTGCGAGACGCTACGACCTGGCCAACCACATATCAACGCAAAAGCTGCTCCTGCGGATCTTGACGTGCAGCAGGCCATCCATGCGCACGGCGGAGCTTTCTGGCTGCTGGGGATGCACGCTGTGTCCGAGTTGCATGGACCGTCCAAGCTACGGGCAGGTGTTCAGGCACAATTTGAGAGGGTGCAGGAGATTCAGGGTGATGTGCGCAAGCTCTTTGAAGCACAAGGCCGCCGACTAAGAGGCCGCCGACTAAAGGATTCAGGAGAAGTCGGACGCCGACTAAAAGGATGCTGTGCGCAAGCTCTTTGAAGCAACAATGCCGGCGCGAGATGCCAGGTTTCTCTGTCGTCGGCTCCTTCCTTGCGCTTGGCGGACCGTCTGTCTGACAAGTGCACTGATGTCATCAAGTCGGACGTGCCTGGGCATCGCGACGACGCCAATGTCGAAGTTTCCCCGCAGGAATATGCTGAGCTCAAGAGCAGGACCTCCGCGCATGCTAGGCACATCAAGGAATTTGTGGGGACACGCCTCTCAGGTGTGGTCGAGGAAGCGCAGAAGGCGAACAAGAGATCACACAGCGGAATCCAGCGCATCTTGCGATGCTCTCTGGCAAACGTCGGCGCCCGGAAGATGGCAGTGCCGCGGGGAGGGGGGGGTGGCCGCGGGCGCGGTCTTGCTCGGCCGCGGTGACACGTGCCGACTTCGGGGCCCACTGTTCTTCGCCGCTCTCTCTTTCGCCGCGGGCCCACCCGCCTACGGCGCCCTGCTGCGCCTGCCTGCCGCCCCGTGCGCGGTACCGTGCGACATTGTCGGCTCTTGGCGCAGGCTGGCGCGCGGGCTCTTCGCTGTCGCTTGCACCTCGCTCTCTCTTCTCGGCAGTCGCGCGGTCTCCCCCCTCAGATTGTCGCGATCTCTTGAGATGACCCTCGGAGGTGATCGCCTTGCCTCGCTTGCCAGCGTTCCGCGGCATCTCGGGCGCGGATCTGCCTGCCTGCTGCTCCGCCCAACGCTTGAAACCGCCGCAGCTCTCCGCCGCCTCGGCCGCCGCGCGCTCCCTGACTTGGCCTGATCACCTGGGATGACCCTCAGCGGTGACCGCCTCGCCGCCGCTTCCGCCCCCATGAGCTTTGCGCCCTGCTGGAACCGCGACTGCTGGCTACTCGCCTGCGTCGCCTCCCCCGGCTTGGCCTGGTCCGCCGGGCTCGGTGACCCGCGGCCGCCCCCGGCCTCCTGCGGGCGCCGCCTGCCCGCCTCACCCTGCCGTGGCCCCCACTGCCCAGCCTTCGGCCGCCGCCCCGCCCGCCCACTTTTGGTGCGGCTCTGGCCCTCCTCTGCGGCCAGCTTGGCGGCCTTCCGCTTCTCCGCTGCCGTTGACCGGCGGCCAGCGCCGTGCCCGCCTCCCCGCCCCCGCTCCGGGCGGCCTCGCGCCCGCGCCGTGGCCGCCGCCACCGCCCCGCATGCCGCCGCCCCTGCGCCTGCCCGCTGCCTGCTGCCCCGGCGCCCCTTCGCCGCTCCCGGCCGCTGCCCCGCGAGGTGCCGGCCGACTCTTTCCTTTCTTCGCTGCGCTACGGGGCTCTCATGCGGTTTTTCTCTCTCTCTCTCTCTCTCTCTCTCGCGCGCGCGCGCGCTGGACGGTGACGAGGTGCTCCCGCCCGCGGCGACCGAAAAGTGTGTGTGTGTGTGTGTGTGTTGTGTGTGTGTGTGTGTGTGTGTATGTGTGTGTGTGTGTGTGTGTGTGCCGGGGGCAATGCGGGCGGGCGGGCGGGCGGGCGGGGTCGGGGGGAGGGGAAGATGGGCACAGTGAGGAACAGCAGGGATGATGGTGAGGAGTGGGAGGTGGCGATGACGACTGGGAGGGAAATGCGGACTGGGAGGGAAATGAGGAATGGGAGGGAAATGACGACTGGGAGGGAAATGAGGTGGAACATAGGAGGTGGCGATGACGACTGGGAGGGAAATGAGGAGGAGACTCCCGAATTCCTACGCCAGCCGCAGGGGCGGCCAAGCGCCTGGCCCGCCTCCTGGGTCATCTGACGCGCGCTGGGTCGCGCCCCCACGCGGCTGCCGCCTACGACGGAAGGCCCCCGTGCTGCGCCAAGGAGGATGATGAGGAGATCATGGCTGAAACTAAACGGTGTTTTTCGTTTCCGTTATGTTTTCGTTTTCCTCGTTGTGTCTTCAACAGTTACGCCTTTAGCGCAAAACGAAATCGAAACGAAAACGGCCCACGAAATCGCCAAAACACCGTTTAGGTCCACCCCTGGAGGATATCTGCCTGTACATGCACACCACGGGGGACCTGGCCCAGAGGCCCCGGGGCAACGACCACTGCGTCAACTGGGGGGACCGGGGGCCCAGCCCGCCTCTGGAGGGCCCCAGATCGGCCCCCAAGAGCGCCCACGCCGCCGTCCAGGCAGCTCAAGAGGGCCCCAACTCGCCCCCAAGACGGTTTTCGAAGAGTTTCGCACGGCAGAAGAGAGCCTTCAGACGCCTCCAGAGCCGCTCAAGACAGCCCCAGACGGCCCCAGCTCCCCTGGACGCTTCCGAGAAGCCACTAGCCATGAATAAACTATGGGCATGCAGTGATTTTTGCCTTCTCGCCTTTTCGCCTCCGAAGGGCTGCTGAGGCCCCAAGATTGCCCCCGCGAGGCCCTCCAGCAGGCCCTACGACGACGGACCCCCCAAAGTTCCCAAGAGGCCCTCCGAACCCCCGAAAACGCCCCCAGGAGGCACCAGGAGGTCCCAAGAGGCCCCAAGAGGCTCCCAAGAGGCCCCCAACGGGCTCCGGAAAGGTCCACACGAGGCCCTCCCTCCTCCCTCCTCCCTCCTCCCTCCTCCCTCCTCCTTCCTCCCTCTTCCCTCCTCCTTCATCCCTCCTCCCTCCTCCCTCCCCCAGAAGCCCCAGGAGGCCCCCACCAGCCTCCCAAGAGTCTCCGACAGGCCCCAAGAGTCCCCAGGAGGCCCGACACGGCCGCCGAAGCGCCCCCCCCACATGCGCCCATGAGGCCCCCATTTGCACCAGAGGAAGAGCTCAATCAGTGGCTTTCCTTAGCTTCGTGATCTGGATATTGAGACCGATGGTTAGATCCATGGTGAGATGGGATCGATCGTGTGGACCATCGTAAGGTCGATCGTGAGACCGATACAGTCGGGGCGCTGAGGAAGGAACCCTTTCCGTTGGGGAGGGGCTCGGTGTTCCTTTAGTGTTTCACAGTTTGCCTTGGGTTTTCCTTATGCTTTCGATCGGAAATCGAAGTTTAACTTATGGAAAATAGGGGCCTCGTTCCTTATTTGGGGTTCCTCAGGTCAACGCCCCATCGGTAACGTCGATCGTGAGACCGATAGGCAAGTCGATTCCGTGAGATCGATGCCCGTCTCGTACCTTCACGCGGGGCCACTCGCCCGCGTCGGCCGCCCGCGCAGTGCGAAGTTCTTCCGGCACCCTCGTCGCCGACGCGTGGACGCTGTCATCTCTCAGGAGAGGAGAAAACACTCAGACACAATGAATCGTCGATTCCCAGGAAGATATGGGAAAATATGGGAAGTGGGGGGGAGGACAGAAACCCAGAAAGTATGGGAACATATGGGGAACCTTTTTATTTGTGTGCATTTATTTGTGTGTCCTGGGGCCCCTTCATCATCGTCATCGGCTTGACCAGCATCGGCGCCGTCATTGGCCTTGCCGTCGTCACCGCCATCATCGCCACCATCGTCGCTGCGACAGTGGAGGCCCGTGCCAAGAAACATCCTGCTTGCCTTCAGGGCGCCCTGGGTTTCCTGGGTTTCGATGGTTTTGCCATTGAACGCGTGAGCACCGGAAAATCGATGGACGTCTTGAGGTCTCAGGGTCGGGTTTCTTGTGGAAGGTTTCTTGTGGCCGGGCCCCCATTGCATCACTGCATCCTCATCGTGTCTGCCGTTGTCGATGTCGGCATGATGCCGCTCACGCCCGAGACGCCGACTCGCACTGAAGTGCCCGCGCGTCAGCGCGGCCAGTCATACGCGTTGTGAAGTCCTCAGCGGTCAGCGCCACCGCAGTCGCGGCGGTCGCGCCAGACCAGCTGGCCGCTCTCAGCGCCAGCTCCGTTCGCCAGCGAGGCCGCAGCGATGCGCTGGCCAGCGCCAGGCAGTCATCGCAGGGGGGGGCCCGAAGCGACACAACGTGGGCCCCGAGAGAACCTTCGGACAAACTCCAGGAGCCCGCCCTCCCCCCCCACTCCTCCTCCTCCTTCTCCTCGATCCTCCTCCTCCTTCTCCTTGATCCTCCTCGTCCTCCTTCTCCTCCTCCTGCTCCTCCTCCTCCTCCTGCTCCTCCTCCTCCTCCTCCTCCTCCTCCTCCTCCTCCTCCTCACCCCATCCCCCTCAAACGCCCCCCCCAGGCTTCCCGAGGCGCACAGTCGGCCAGGATTCTGGGAGATTTCTCCGGGAACATCGGGCCGACGACGACGACGACGATGCCGATGTTGATGCTCGTTCTGGTAGTGATGAGGACGATGATGAGCGATACGACGACAGTGACGATGTGCACGACCACGACTGGCGTATCGGTTTTGCGGATGATGGTGGCTGGAGTGAGAATAAGGATGATATTTCGGATGAGGACAAGGATATAGATGCTGATGACGACGACGACGAGGAGGAGGAGGAGGAGGATGATGATGATGATGATGCTGACTATGATGATGATGCTGATGATGCTGCTGCTGCTGATGATGATGATGCTGATGCTGATGCTGATGCTGATGCTGCTGATGCTGCTGATGATGATGATGATGATGATGCTGATGATGATGATGATGATGATGATGATGATGATGATGATGATGATGATGATGATGATGCGGAGGTGGAGGAGGATGATGATGATGCTGACGACGATTCGCGAGCTTAACGTGACGGCATAGCTCGCAGCATTGGGCCAATGATCCTCATATGGATGCTGCTGTTGTTAACACTGAGGATTCCGATCATGAGGCTTGTTAGAATGTCGATGAGTAGAATGACCAGGAGTATGATCCGAGGCGGGAATGTATACATGACCACCGCCTGGAGGATCAGTTTTCGGAGCCTCGGCAGGCGGTGGATATGGACATATTCGGGCCCCCGGTGGCCGAAACATATCCATATCTACCGCCCGCTAGGGCACCAGGACGTCGGTTCCGAGGCGGTGGATATGGATGAAGCCCCGCCTCGCATATGAGGGTTGGGACGGGAATGAGGATGAGGGCGAGGATGGGTACGACTATGTCACGTGCTTGTGCATGATGCCGCTGTTCAAGCTTTCAGCCTCCCCCGGCCTGCGGGGGGGAATGCGAACCCACATTTCGAGGGCTCCGCCTTAAGAGGACCCCGAAGATCGCCAGCAGGCCCCCAAGGACCCCCCCGAGAGGACCCAAGAGGGCCCCAAGACGCCCCGATACGGCTCCAAGAGGACCCTCAAGAGTGCCTAGAGGGGCAAACATCGCCCCTTTCCCTGAGGAGAGAGTGCATTTTCATCACATTCGCTGTTATTTTTGCGCGCAGCGTCCTAGACGGCCCCAGAGGCCCTCAGGAGAGCCTGCAAAACTGCCCAAGAGGCCCCCCAGAGAGCCCCCAGACAGCCCAAGAGGGCCCCAAGACGGCCCAGGAGGCACCCCGTAGCCATTCTTGCTCAAGAATCTCGCTGAGTATACTGTAAACAATCAGTCCTTTCTTCCAGAACTGCTCGGCGTTGGCAGCTGCCAGTGTATTCGCCATGAGTCACACAGCTGTCATCCATGCGCTTTCTGGTTGTCTGTGCACGGTCAAGGGAAAGAGTACCACGCGTGTGTGTGTGTGTGTGTGCGAACTGAAGCGTAGGATTGAAGGGGTCTCCGCCCATTTCGTTCGGTATTCATCATACGATGTGCGCTCGGATCCAGGATTTGTCCTTCAAGTAACCAGAACACGTTACCAGAACAGTGTTCTAAACAAGCCTTCTTGCTTCTTGGAACGTGTTGCAACACCAGCGCCCTGGTCAGACCGTGACCTTGTCCGCGTCGTTGTCCAGATGGACCCTGTTTCGATATATCGTCTCCCTGACGACTTCTCTGTCGACGAGGAGTTTGTCCTTGCCGTGATTGAGGGCCTTGAGAGACCCGCAGACCTTTTTGAATTTTCTTAAAATCCATTCCCGTGGAGCTACACAAATCACGATGTCTTGTTGTCCTCTTCAAAGCGAGTGCTCTGGCACTATGCACAGGGAGAGCAACACTCTGATATTCGCCGCTCAGTCAGCATGCAGAGACATGTGCAGCCCCTCGGCAGTGCGCTCGGGTCAACCTTGAAGAAGGACTTAGTTTACGATGGCATCAGAGTGGTGACACCAGATGGCACTCGTGAGTCGCCTACGCAGTTTTATAAGCTAATCGGTGCGTCAGAAGCAGCAGTCCCGCCAGCAGAGACGTTTGAGGCACGTGGCTTTGAAGGGTGTTCGCATGATGACTCCACGCAGTGCACATTCGAAGGCGAGAGATGGGCTCGCCCTTCACTCCGTTGTAAACTTCAACGATGGCGTTTTCGATACCAGGCTTGACGTTAACCTCTTTTAGCTGGCCGTGACAGGAACTCATGGGGGGCCAGCCGTGTACCGTGTACAGGAATAATTGTTACAGTGCCGTTTTTAATACATGCTCCGCGTGCGGATCATGTATTAAACATGCAGGGATTTGGTATTACAAACAACGACGAGTTCGTGCACACATTAATTCATAAATTAGTCATGTACTAAAACTCCAATGTTTAAAACACATCCAAGGTATTAAACACTGCCCTGTAGGCCTTCGCGCGTCCAGCACGGACACCTGCGCCGTGGGGGGGGGAACACCGCCGGCCGAGAAGGCACCCAGGACCGCCCCAAGGCGGCCGAAGAGAGCGCCGACAGGGGCCCCGCGCGGGGAATCCGAAGCCACATTTCGAGGCCTCCTCCTCCTATTCCTCCTCCTCCTCCTCCTCCTCCTCCTCCTCCTCCGCGGGGGAATTCGAAGCCCTAAGAGGACCCCGGCGATCGCCAGCAGGCCTCCAGGACGCCCCAAGACGGCTCCAGGAGGACCCTCAACGGGG